TATAATACATCGAATTCGCAAGCTTGAAATTCATACAGTGGTCCAATCATAGCATGCTATGAAGACATTTTAGGAATTTTATCGGGCTGTGACCGGATGAAATCTCTTGGGTTACTTTAGAGCCTCTTAAGGCTTCGTTGTACTCTCTGGGAGCCGTTCCGACAGTTAGTACAAATGATGTGCAGAGTACTTGTAGCAAATTTTTGTTATACCACGCCTACGTGAGTAATTGACGAGCACAAAGATTTGGGTGATAGGACATATAGAGAGATTAGAACAATTTATCTGCCAAAGGTTAGGACAAATCACTTCGAAGAGGTTTGCTACATAGTACAAATAGTTCAACTGGACTTACAAGTTTTTTTATTGATGCGACAAATTTTCCTCCCATACAAAATTTGAGCTTGTGTAGTTCGTTAGATTGTTCAAGAAGACGTCGAAAGTTAACATTTTCACTTGACATATATAATCTGTGTAAGTGAAGAAAATGTTTAATTTGCATTTATTTGAGCATTAATTAAACTACTTCATGAGTTGTTTTCATCTGTTAGGTAAATAATGCCAGATACAGGTGATCGATGGGTTAATAACTCTGTGACATTGTAGACACTTGTGTTATTCATACCTATCCATCACCCGCATGGAACTTCATTGTTTAATATGTGGAAACAGCATATCCTATCAAGATAGAAACTGCATGGCTATTTGGTAGTCTTTGGATGAAGTGACAGTCTAAAATACTAGTCTCAATAATTATCGGACGCCTAACAAAGACTCGTGAACTGTGAACACGAGAAATTAAAGCCGATTTCAGACTTGGTTGTGGTTGCATCGATCACATATTCACTATTCGTCAGGTTATACAACACAGGCATACTTATCAGCGTCCGACAATAGTGGTCTTTCTTGACTTGAAAGTAGCATTTGACTCTGTAGACCGAGAGGTTCTATGGCATTGAAAGGTGTACCTTGTAGTCAATCTCTAACCGAACACCGATAGTCGAGTTAGAGCTTATGGCTAACTGTCATCTGATTTTGCAACCTCAAGTGATGTTCGTCAAGGCTGTCAATTATCTCCATTTTTGTTCACTTTCACCATAGACGTACCGCTGGAAACAACGTTCTCGTCGTCTGTATGTTCGGGAATTGATCTCCCACTAGGAGGTCCACTTATCGAATTAGAATACGCAGATGACATAGTCCTGTTTGGTGAAGACGCTGAAAAAATGCAGAGTATTTTGGTAGCACTGAGTAACAATACCAGGATGTTTGGGATACGTTTCCCCCCTCTAAATTCAAGTTGTTACTTCAGGACTGGTCTGCGTCAACATCTGAACTAAGGATAGGGAGTGAAGTAGTCAGACGCGTCGACAACTTCACTTATCTTGGAAGTCTGATTGTATTGTTTATATTGTATTGGTTATATAAGTACCTTCTACCCATTGTACTATCAATAACATTTTTTCGTTGCAGGGAGAAACTTGTGCTTCATCTGTTATTGATGCAACATCACTTTTTCTTCTATTTCTTAGTAAACTTGTTCTTAACACGTTTTGTATACTTCAGAATATTATCAGCGTTTAAAATTTTTCGTTTTATGCTTGTATCCCAATTAAATTTTTTTACACAAGATGATTAATTGGTTAGCTCTAACATAACATGACACTTAAATGGAATTTCATCAAATTCTCCATGTAGCATTTAATTTTGCACTTAATGAGAATATCATATTTGTTTGCTTTTTAAGAGTTAGTTTCAAAATGACGTATTTTTATTGTTGGAATTTTGAGAGTGACATTTTATTAAAAAAGAAGTGTTCATAATCAATTAGAAGAATTCATTGATCACTTTGATTAGTTGGGGAAATATTAGATCAATACTATTTCACTTTGTATTATCTTTGAATAACAGTAAGTAACCTGTCTTAATAAATTCAGAAATCCTATATTTTTTTTCCATAAAATTATTCAACATTTGTAAAATGGTGAACTTTCATATGATCTCACATGAATTGACTAATTATGTAAGAGTTTATCAAAACTGATTACAATCAGATAATTAAACGAAATTAATCGGTACATTAAAGTATTCATCGCTCAAAGTAACTTCACAATTAATAACAAATATACCAATATGAGAAAGAATCAATTTAACATATGTAGAATAAAATTAAACGTATGTTGTATGAACAAGTGAAGGTTGTATTGTTTGATTTTTGTTGTTGAATATTTAATGACTTACACATTGTGGATACTGTCATCTTTTCACAGTTAATTACTTAACTTCATGTACACGCTGTTTTTTTCAGTTTTCTAACTAAAGTAGTAATTGTTAAACTACAACTTTGTTATACCAGTAAATTTAATTAGTGAAACGGAACAAACCATTTGTAGTTTATTGTCAATAAATGGTTTTGTAATAGTTAATAAAGATAATGATAATAATAATTTATTTGAAGCTCTCAAGTCCAACCTTGGCATTTATACGTACCAAATAAAGATAATTTGAGAATGACTAACTACACATAATGTATTGTCAGTGTTTTTTTCTTTTTGCTTCTCTATTTGGTTTTGTTTGTTTGTTTTCAAGTATGTATCTTTTACCTTCCTCTTACTACTCATACTAAATAATATGTATTGCAACGTGTTAATAAATGTGTTTATGATAAATTTAGTTGCAAACTATAGACGGTAAACTGATCTCACCTCCTACTAATTTCATATATTACTAAACTCTTTTGATGTATATTATTTTTGGGTGTTTCTCTCTCTCTCTCTCTCTTGGTATAGATTTATAATTGAATTATCCAGGATAGCTTTAAGTTTTATTTAGTTAAACGTCAGTTGAGGGTTTACAGACATTAAAATTGTTTAATGACATTCTTAAATGAAACAGTTTATTCTGAGTAAGTAACACTTAAGTAATAAGCATTTTACCATACAAACTATAAAGTTAATAATACTTCAGTGTAATCTGACATCATCCGTAATCTCAGGATGTTGGAAAAACTTGCCAACGTTGATATTTTGAATATTAACCACAAGAAATTACCGAATTAACACATCCAACAAAGTAGGAAGACACCTGAAGGGGACTTCAAAAGAAAACAAACAAAACCTTCAGTGTTTAAAAGTCTCAGCTATTTGGTGAAAACATCTTCATTTCTTCACACAGTCCATGTCAATAATTCAACTGACTGATATGATATACTTGCATGCAGTGCCTTTTCCTTCTTTCACACACATCAGTCAGCATCCATTGCACATGAATATTTGCGACTTTCGGGTGTGTGTAATACACCTTCAAATGTTGGTTTGGTTAGTAATATACTTCAAAAATAACAGATTCTTGCATCGTATTCGGGGCCGTGTGATCAAGCCGTTTGTTGTAAGAGCAGTTGTATTATCTAGTCTGGTTATTAGTTTATTTTTCCTATTTTACCTGTAGGACCAGTGACCTTTATTTCTAGTCTCTCAGTGGCTCTGAATAATCATAGAAGAATTTTAATGCTTGTTGGTACACGGGTTTCCAATCAGATGTGTATAACCGAACGCATTAATTCAATATTGTACTCTGTATATTCACAACTCAAAACTCATAAAATAATATATCTCAAGTAACCTGACCACACAACAACACAAATGAGAAATTACTATGTATGCACAATATTCAGTCATAATCGGTGCAAAGACGAAACAATACGTAAATAATTAATAAAGAAGAAATTCTGAAACAGTAAGAGATATTACAACGGATTATTTGTCAAACAAACGCTAACAACTACGATAGTATTAGAATACAATGAAAATAACTAATACTTCTGGAAGCTCAGTCTTTCTCAAATTCTCTTTGACATGATAAAAGTATACCATAAAAGCATGTTTTCATAATGTTTTCTGGCTATTGGACATTATTCAAATGTGTTTCTTAACTGTTAACATTTTACCTATCCAATCCATATGATTTTCATGTCAAATGACTGTAGATATTTTTCCTATTTATACTGTTGAATAAAAAATCCGAAACACTATGCTTTATTGATAAGGCAACTCGTTTATCGAACAGTTAAAGTTTTAATTGATTTCATATAGAGTCGGGAAAATTCATTAAGGCAGGTATTGTGAATAAGTTCATATTATTCCTACAATTGACATCATCTGTCATCTAAAATGTGTAAGTTGATGATCAGGCTTAAGTTAATTAATTACTGTAATATTTTGTTATTCTAAATTTAATTCAAAATATATGTATATTTTTGTTTTACTACACGAATTTTTCTCACTTTGTATTATCATTTTGCCTTCTTACCGAAAAAGAGTGACTTTCGTTTCTTCTCATTCGTATTTACAAACAATTCCATTTTCTTTTCTTCATTTTGTACAACTTGTCGTGTCTAAATGATTTACTTATGTATGCATGGGAAGAGTGCCCATCACACATCGACATTAACTGAGGAAATATTGAAAACCAGCGAGCACTAATAACAGTTACTTCGTCTTAGTTGTGGTCTCAATAGTGACCACCTATGACCTTACCAGATATCGAACCCATAACCTATAGACCACTAACTTAAGAATACAAAGCTGCGAACCAGTTTTTCATATTTCTTAATTAATTCACGTGGTCTTCATCTAGTGTAATCATTGATGAGTGTTCCGTACTCGATATGATTTTCATTATCATTAGAACTTCAGTAATCCATGTCGAAGTTAGTTATTAGTGATCATTTGATTGTTATGTAAAAAAATGGAATGTGGAGATCAGTTTAATGTGATATCAGTGTGTATGACGAAATCTTTCTTCATTACATTTCACAACTCCCCCCAGTTCACTCAACCAATCTCACTGATTTATTCCGCCTTCATTTTTTTTATTAATGTAATTATTTCTTTGCTTTTTATTGTTGTGCTTAATATCTTTCATACTATAATATTCCCGTTAGTTGTCATTTCTTTCCAATTCTTCCCTCATTTAATTTCATCTCGTTTATTGTTTTGCAGTTCGACAGGAAGTTTCGAAGATAGAACGGTCAACACCAAATGTAACTCAGACATTAGTAGCCAAATTTCAAGAATTAGAATCTGGAAACAATACAACTAGTATACAAAATTCTCTACCACAGAATCAAGTGAATTTGCCTCATTTATTAAAATTATACATTCATGATTAGACCGAATTATTTAATGACTCGTTTGTATTAATATGATCGTACATTTAAAGATTTCTAAAATTGTAAATGCCAGTTATTGGATTCAAGCTCTGTAGTCTTGTTATGATCTCTCTTATTACGACCCAGCTGCTCTTATTGCCCCCATATCAAAACACGGTTGAACAGGAACGTAATTATACTCTATATAAACAATGTTGAATGGAATTAGGAACCAGAATAAGGAAAACGTTACTATATTTAAAATTTTACACAAGAAGATTCTAGACTCTTTTCCAAGTACTTGCTAGCGCTGATTGGTTAGGAAATAGCCAACCAGTGTGCCCCAAAATTATCCTGCACGGAACACGTTTTAATCCAATCTGTATCCCGCTAACAAGTCTTATAATCCTGCGTTTGATCCCCCATAGGTTCGTGAGTGTGCATTGCTAAGTAGTCCTAAACTATGCTCCCTGATTTTCTGTAGAAGTGTACATAAAGTCACCATATGATTCCTACTCCGGACTCCCTGAGTATGACTGCTTGCAGGTAGTTTTAAAAATACATTGAGTTTCCACTAAGATGTGATTATCAGAAATTTATCGTTTATTTGAACATCTTTTAACTGGATGCTACTAGTAATATAAAAAAATGATTCTTTCTTATAAAATAAATTGAACGTAGTTCAAACGTTAGATTATGTTATACCTACTTACTAAACAGAATACATTTTGTTCACATAATTACCCAGTCAATTAATATGTTTGTTTTTAAAGAAAACTGTAAAATACTTTGCAGGCTCTTAGTTTTATGATCTGATTATAACCATACTATTTGTCACATATGTTAAAGATGGGTGGGGGTGAGATAGGTGGTCAAGAGGAGTGTGTAAAACTAATATTGGAAATAGTTTCTTGACCTAACTGATGAATAAAAGTAAAGAGAACTCAGCGAAGAAAATTCTCTTTTCCACGAAATTCCTTACTTAAGCTTTACATTAGTATTTATAGTTGTTTGATAAATATACGTCTATAGAAGGAAAGCAGGGGTTGCACCATTAAGTGATCCAAGATTTCAAATATCAATAGGAGATTGTGTTACGATCATTGGGTTCGAGACAAGTAGGGGAGGTGAAGACTAATTTACGGGTCAGAAATATCAGAGGTCATTATCGACTTGAACTAGATGAAGAAAAATGGAAAACGTAAAGGTCACAATAACAGTTCAGTGATAATCATGAAAAATTGTTAGAGTATAATAATAATAATAATAGCTGATTACGGTTTAAATAATACAAAAGAATAAAAAAAACCAATACATATTGGAGAGGGTAATTTGGGTCAAAGAAGAATGAGAAGTTAAATGTATCGTTTTTGGACTCGGCATTCGGTCATGGCTAGGTGAATTGTCAACGCTTCATCAGTGAACGGCTTATAAAAGGGGAATGCAAAGCTATCACAGGAGCACCTGGACACGTTTCAGAGGAGTTGTCCTTTAAATAATCTATATGGTTAAAAGAATCTGATCAAAGCGAGGTCCAACTAAAATACTTGCGCACTGCTTAGGCATTGACATCTCACCGACGCAAGACCGAATGCTGAGTCCAAAAACGATACGTTTAACTTCTCATTCTTCTTTGATCCAAATTACCCTCTCCAATATGTCTTGGCTTTTTTAATTCTTTTGTGTTATTTAAACCGTAATCAGCTATTATTAATGTTATTATTATTATTATTAATTATTATTATTATTATTATTATTATTATTATTATTATTATTACTCCAACAATTTTTCATGACTATCATTGAACTGTTATTGTGACGTTTACTTATTTCATTTTTTTTCCATATCGTTCAATGCATCGTAAAAATATTATGTGTGTATTCAACAGACTCATTTGTCATTCAATAAAGTTTATATTTAAGTTCATATTTAAGAGTGATAGCCCGGTGGGTAAGGTGTTCAATTTTCAGCCACTAAATCTCAGATCTGAATCTACCCATTTGATTTTGGGCAACTAAGTAGCATCGGTAGACCTCAAACTTAGGACATGGATTGAATCCAAATGCATGAATTTGTACCTGATAAATGAATATATTCAAGAAGGAACAACTCTTCTCTCCTTCAGTAAATATATGTAAGTATATTCATATGTCATTTAAAGAAATTAGGTGGACAAAATCACACTTTTGTTAATGTGAAGAATATTGTATGAATCAGCGGGTTTTACTTTTTATCACTGATGATAATTTTTTAAATTCTTTATATTCTTGCTTTTCTTTCAATACTCTTATTTGTGGTCACTTTCAAATGTATGTGGACATGTGTTAATCATGTAGCCACCACGTAGAATCTATTTTAACTCCACTCATACAGGACCAACCAGTGCAAATGGTGATGTTTTTCCATCGTCAGGAAGTGCTCGTCAATTAGTAGAACGTTGGAATAAAATGCCTCTGGAAAATCACCAGGTAAACTCGAATTTTCGCCAAAAAAGACCCATTCTGTCTTTATTCTTATTACCAATACTGTTTATTTATAGGTATTGAGTAATCCAAATCACCATAGTCTCTATTCTTTCAACTAAGATGAAGTATAATGGTCAATTTTGTTTGTATGTGTGCGTTTGTATGTTATAGATTTTCCCTCAGGATGTTTTGCTTCTTTCGTTACTTGTTTCTTATTTTCATTTTGACAACAAACTCATGAAAATTTTAATCTCTGATGTCAACTTTTTGGTTTATTTAATGTATTTGTTGGTATTCAAAGTGCTGAGAGCCGTCGAAAATACATTGCCATCATACTTGAAACTGTTTACCATTGTGAGCTTTTAATTTTGTCAATGGGGTTTGTAGATATTATAGTAATTTGATAGTTTAATTCATGAGCTGATTAAACCCAGACCAGCATGGAAAACCTGAAAACACTGGACGGCCGTTTCGTTCTAGTATGGGACTCTTCAACAGTGCAATCCCACACACGGGGCTCAAACCCAGGACCTTCGGTCTCGCGCGCAAACGCTTAACCTCTAGACCACTGAACCGGCAACCAATGGTGTTAATGACCCACTTCAACCATTCCACAATGTTGCGCCACCCTTCACCATTGTCTTCAGTGAGTAACTGCGGGATCGTGGATGCGCACTTTTGAAGAGTTCCATACTAGGATGAAACGGCTGAAAAGCTTCAGCTACTCGCCTTTCTTTATAATTGGGAAATTCTTTAGATATTATTATTATTGACTTGATGGTCGTTAAAAAAACCAAGTACTGATTGGTTTATCAATTTTCTAAACATACAAGATTATTTTGAGGTTATTTATTATAGCTTAGATGTTCTTTGAACCGAGTAATGATTTCGCGAGAAAACTCCTATTTAGAATGCATCACAATCTATACATCCTGGTCAATAGACACAATTGTGTCGAAGTAATAGAAATTTTCTATTTTAACCATAGCATTTCTAAGGGTGTTCATTATTTTATGGAATGTTTGAATTCTGTGTCATCTAAGGATTCATTGCAGCTTTTCTGTTGTGTCATGACGGTATGGTAGAACTACAGTGTAATAATCCATTTTAGTTTATTCACTTTATTTAATAATTAACAAAATAATTTCTTTTTGGTGTAGTTTTAATAATATTCATGAAAAAGTTCTCAAACCGTAAGATTTTAATTATATTTTTCGGTTCATTTTGTTTCTCTTCATCTGATGTCATAGTGTTTGACACTCGTCTAAGTTTGGAACCGAGAACATTTTTGTACTGAGTGGATGTGCCGATTTGAAATCAATATTTCGATTTGAGTTTGTGTGTGCTTATGGTAGATGAGTTGACTGAGACATCCATTTGAATTTCTTTTGACTAAACAGTCTAAAGTTAGTAGTTTACTGGGTTCATTTTAGAAGGCGAATTTTATGTGAGCTGAAAAATTACTTCTCACTTTATAAAAGTCCCTCAGGAGAGTAATTTCCGTGATGATGAAAATGTCATCTTCATATCTGAGCTAAATGCATAATTCTGATAGCACATGGAAAAATATGCGATTTTATATAGAACTGATGTACTTATATAAAAAGGCGACAATCTGTGATACAGATGATTTTATGGAGCCTCTTTTATTTTTCTATACAAAGTTTCTTTGGACGTAAATAAGGTCAAATTCAGAATTGAAGGGCTCTCATTATTAAGCTAATGATTAGTGGAGATCTGCTAAGTAGATTAATATCATGATTCTCTAGTAAACGATTAATAAAATCTACGCATTTATCAATAAGAATACTAGTACATAACTATGCATCGTAACTTACAGTCTTCATTTTTTTGACAGACAGATCCGAAATTTTCTATCTGAAATCATTAGAATTTTTAATGATATTGTATTAGTTCCTGTGAAGTGGTCTCAGTATACTGCTTAGATATTTAGATGGAGTATATGTTGGAGTGTTTGTGGAATCTACTAAGTCTTAGTGGTTTATCAGGTTTATGAACTTTTTGTAATCTTTAAAAAAAATGTGATGTGGTGCATGATTTGAGATATAAAGTAAACCGTAAAGAGATACCTATGATTGACTTTAGTTCTTTAAGAAGTTTGCTTTTTTCTGATTTCACTTTATTTTAATCATTGAAAGGAATTGTAATTTGCCTTGAATTATCCATCCATTTCTATGCTAGTACAGAACATTATGTAAATTACAATTGTATTTAAAAACTCACAGGACTTGGATCAATCACCTGACAATGATTTAGACTTGAAATGCATAAATATGTAAGAATGGATAAAAGAACTGTTGTGAGCACTTTTTTGTGTATTTGGACTAATTAATAGCTGACAAGAAAAGTAGGAGTATAAGGATGGTAATAGAAAAATACCATTAGTCACTTTTAGATAATTTTCAAATGTTCGTGTCCATCCAGTGGTCGGTTCGATTTATTATAAGGTGACAACATGAATTTAGCCAAGAAGTGATGAAGGGATTCAATCGTGAACAAGTGGAACCCTATTGCTCTTAAAAGTATAAATACCATTTTCTCTTCCCGGCTCCCTTATACCTGCATCCACCAATGAAGGAAATTTCTTTTTGATGGACCAGAAAAATAAACTCAATTATGGTCTTAAAGATCTAGAAGCGTGATCGTACAGTCAAAGAGGTAACTGCTTGAGGCCGGCCGCACACAACCTTTTATGGGAAGTTTTCGATGTTAGCTCCTCACTTCAAGAGGCCTTGTATCTGGAGACGAAAATCCGTTTGGTAAGATGAGATTCGACATTTTTAATATCGACCATTTATAACCCCCTTCTTCCATTGTGAAAAGGCGGCATCGTTGCAGATGTTGGATGTCTGGAGGAAACGAGTAACCACTTTCACACCTCATTGCGCCTAACAGTATGGCTTCATCCTCGGACCATGGGCTTGATGCTTTCAGCCTTACCGTTCCTCAACCAGCCTGACATGATAGGACCTAAGGGAAAAATGGTTCCAGGCAATATAGCTGTGGTTGGTCCAGTTTATCAGGTTTCATGGTAGGTAATTAAAACGAATAAAGTAAAAGTAGTTCAAACAATAGTATTACTAACCATAGTAAAGGTTTAACGAATAATATCTCTTAAAACCAACATATGTTATGTATGGATAATGGATGTATCAGGCCACTGAAACCAATTTGGGGAAGGGGTTTTCACCCAAACCTTCCAGTTATAGGTTGCTACTATTACGTCGACCATAACCAGCAAATATACACCTTCCCACACGTCTAGACTGTTTGCCAATGGTTTTTTGGTTTATTCTTCCAAACTGTTCTTTTGTCAGTCAAAATTGTATTTGGAAATAATGAAGTAGCTGGGTGCACATAATAGTGCAGACCAAAGTAGTGTATTATAAAATATTTCATAAATGAATTGTCAGTTCAATAAAAATTTTATTTATAGATAGGGTTGGGTAATGTGCAGCATTGGAAGAATACAATGTACCACCGGTAGATAAGTCACATCATATCACAAGTCGACTAAAATTCCTAATATCAGTAACTCCAATTAGATTCTGTGATTTATAGCTTGATGTGTCTACTCTTTGTCCTAGAAGTCCTTCACTTGATTGTGGTAACTAGATTTTTCTAAAAGACAATGGAAATTGTTCAGGAAAATATTCCACTGAATATACTTACGGACACATACAAGATGAAAACTTCGAAGGGCAACAGAAAGATAAAAAGCGGAAAGGGCTGGGTAAGAAACACACTGAAGAAAATAAAACTAATCATCAGGTTACAAGTAGACCCAAGTCGTGTTTTTTTAATGATGTTGGTGAGTTCAATAATATCTTTTTCCATAGTCACTATGAATTCATAAAACCCTAGGAAATATTTTATCCAGTAGGCACTGAATAGAGGCCACTCAAGAACATTTAAGAAATGAGCGATCACTTGTCACTTTTTGATTGAATAATTACCCATTCAGATACTGTGTTCAACGTGTTTCTAGAAGGTTCTGGAATATCAAGGTCATAAATATCCTTAGTTTTGTGTGCACAAACTGACCTCGGAATAAAGTTTTTACGTTCAGCGCTGTTCCTTTAGGAAGCGGCCAGGAATTAAGTAATAAGCGTTCCGGTAGCAGATTTATCAGATATCCAGTCTTTGTCGACTGACTGTGAAAATCAGTCAAATTTTACTTCATAAGTCTTAGGATTCTTGATAACTAGGACTCTGAGTGATTTTTTGACGTGATGTCTGACTGTTCTTATCACTAGGTTCTACATTTCGTTAGCTTGATGCTTGTTATTCGAGATTTCATATAAAGCCCTCTTCCTTAACTTAAATGGTGAAAAATCAATATTGACTTTGTTTCATACTCGAAGATAGATAAATAGAAGTCTTCCTTAAATTTAGACTGTTGGTCGAGTTGCGCCTGAAGTAAATGGAAAACCTCATGTTTCAAACCAACGGAAATTCATTCCTGTGGAACGTAAGTTATACCATCTTCTTTGGTATGTATGTTTATATATTTCTACTACTTTTGTTCTGTAACTATTGAATATAATTGGGAGTAAAATACAATCTGTATATGCGAGACAAATAAACATAACTGAGATGACCATACCACACCTCGTTTGATATGTGCCATAAATAATTGCAAACAATTTCCTAATTGTTACAAAAAAGTAAATGTTCAAGTCAACCGAAATGCATTCCTCTTAAAATCGTACAACACATTAATAAAACATTTTAAACTTAACTACTTGTAAGTAGTTCATGAGTTGCTGTGAAAAAGAGGTTTTCATGTCAAGTTTAGGGGTTCCAAAGGGATTTATTTACACGTTAAATGGAGAGCTAAGTTTATATATACATAACATCCTTAGGAAATTAGGACGATCATCTGTTTGGGTCTAACCTTGTGTAAATTAAAGCTATTTCTCAACCAACCACGTCCACTCATCATTTGTTTATTTCTCTGTTTGGTTCACTGTATGCAAACAATTTCCTAGTTCGAATCTTGATTATTCGCATAGAACTGAAATTTTTAATTGAGCAGTTGATGGTTATTTGACTTCTAGTTGACAAATTCACGAAATAAAGTTCATATTACCCAACTAGATAATCAGAATATTATAAGTAATTTACGGTGTGCATCTGGTAATCTACATCGACTCACATGTTTACATGCTGTTTCATTTTCGTCATACTATGTGCATACTATATTTAAAGCTATCGTTATCATGAATTAAGAAATTCTATGCAAAACAGTTAAAATTGTAAGTTTTCATATTTACTTATTCTAGCCAAACCATTAACTAGAAAACCTGTCGAACAAAAACCAAAACAATTAGTCAGTGAATTAAAACAAAATTTCAGTCATAAACCTGAAGATGAAGCTTAGTAAGTTGAATTTTAGTTTAAGAATGAATGAAACTAATTGGTGATTTTTTTTCAAAAAAATCTTTGATTTGAGACATTTTATTTGATTGACAGCTTTGCGAAAATTGATTGAATTTAGTTCTCGTTATGAATTTTTTATATTGGATGATGAATTATTGAAAACCACGAAGCTCCGGATAGTTGGTGTGTTGTAGTTTAGGATTTCTCGGTTGTACAAAAGCACATGGTGGTCGAACTCTGAACACTGAACTTTCACAAACGATAAACATTACCTTTAGTTCACTTCATAGTATAACGCGACACTATCCGACCAGTCCTATCAGGCAGTTCGTTGTTTAAATAACGTGGTATATTTATAGTGTGTGGGACCGTTTTCATTTATTGTGCTCCATCTTTTTGTACAACTATGGAGCTCCATTAATCCGTATCGTTTTGTGTACAGAAACTCACAAAATTCCAGACGAACGTTTATCATCGGGAAATTAGCTATGTGTTTGCCAAGTCATCCAAATAAATACTCTCATATCATTTAACCAGCCCTCATACGTAAAAATGCCGTAGTCATTGTTTTGGTCAAATTATTCTGCTAGACAGACGTGTGTACAAAAATCATAGTAGCCACTACTTGATGATAAGACGTGATAACTGTGAACTTTGTGTGCAAAAATCTCCACTGTGTCGTTAGATAATGCCAAACACTTCCCAGCCTACTGTAGTTTCAGTCCATGTCAATTATCGGCTTGGACACAAGGAAAATAGTAACCATAAATCATAGAGGTTTTCCCATGTTAGGGTTACGACGAATCGCTGTTAACGTTGTATAATATGGGAAGGTTATATGTGCTTGATTTGTGTTATAAGTTAAGAAAGATTTTTTGTCATTCTCATCATGTAATGATACTATTTAAATAGTTATAATGGAAATTTGTCGAGCTTAATTTAGAAAAGACTAACAAATCTGGAATTTTGTGAACCTTCATAGATAGTGATAGCTAAATACATTTTGTGCCAATTCTCGCCGATTAAATTCTTGTGTAATTTTCTTTGTGATAGAATCCCGGTTTAAAATATCCAAAAACCAAAACCAAATTTGTAATCAGTCTCTAAACTCTCTTCCAATGTTGATGTTAACAGTACGAATTTTGGTGTTAACTATGTGGTAATCTGTATTCTCTGTTGAGTGGTATCGTACGCTAGTGTTGATATATATATATATATATATATATATTTCTATGAAATTCAAGTTATTCAGTATAACACCTGTCTTTCTTCCCACACTAAATCTTTTTGTGGATTCTTAATAGTTAAATCACTTTGCATTCAACTAATAGTTTAAAAATTTGATTTCGGTTCAATCTATTTCAGTTTGAGATCTTGGATGTTATCACAGTAGCTGTTACACTAGTAGTCTGTCTCAGCCAAATACATCAACTTGTTACGTATTTTTGCTTGTATTGACATTTTCAAAATGTCACATTTCAAAGTCATTATTTTAACCACAGGTTGTACAATATTAGCCTAGTGAGTCATTGATATCATTTACCGTTACTTTAGGTCAGAGGGTAAAATCGTACTGCTGAGTGTAGAGGTTTGTGATAACAGTAAGAATTTTCCCCCAGACATCCTACATCTGCAACGATGCCGCCTTTTCACAATGGAAGAAAAGGGTTATAAAAGGTCGATATTAAAAATGTCGAATCTCATCTTACCAAACGGAAATGCTGAATGTCATCTCACCTCATATTAGTTCTTCCATCCCCATGAATAACCCTTCTCGTATATTTTTATCACCACACACCAGCAATTATAGGTTTAAGAAAACACAGGTAAGTTATGTATTTCATGTATTTTTCTTGTTTTTCAAAAAAAAACTTTCCTTTTAGCAGTTCCTCGGAGTCTACTGAAAGCGCGAAAATTGGTCAGTTTCATAGCACAAACGGTAAAACAAGTGAATTTCCAACTCCGGGTATTACAAGAAATCTAGTTGCTAAATTTTCTGCCCTTTCTGCTGCATCCTAACTTATGACATATTCTCAACACCTTTCTTACCAAAAATAGTAGCGTAATCAGATGAAGATGATGATGATGATGACTATTAAAACGATTTGGTCATAATCAATAGGAACACACTTTTTCTCAACAGTTCTTTTTTTCGACTTTGTTTTCAAATTACTGATTACTAATACTCTTTTATTACAACTTTTGTCGCTATTACCGTCATCCTTGTTACAGTCTATTTCTTCATACTGGTCCACTTTTTCATAACAACAGATTGTCGTATCTTAATCTATTATTTCATTGTGGTTTATTCATTACGCTTACATTACTAAGTATTTATTTGATGTTGTTACTGCTTAGATTTATGTTTATGAATAAAATTTACTTATAAGGAAGAGGAATTATTAAGCACCACATGCTATGTTTCTGTTATTCATTTTATTGTCATATATATATATATATATATATATATATATATATATATATATATATATATATAGAGAGAGAGAGAGAGAGAGAGAGAGTACCATTTTGATTTGTCATTGTTAGTGTCATTTATATTTCTTGTCAATCTATAAAACTTACTCTTTTTTAACGCTCAGTTTCCTTTTTGATATGATGGTATTCTTTTTTACATAGCTTTTATTTCTGTTAACACAAATTTAGAAGTAGCCACAGTTGAGTTTATTTCAGTGGGTTTGTTTTAGTATTTATCGTGTCCATTTCTACTTGTTTTACTTCCCGTACATAGTGTGTTTTGTTTTCATACATGATTCATTTGTTTTTTGTTTTATGACACTACCAACTATACGAATTTTCATCCTGTTTTTCGTTGTCATTTTCAATGCTTTCACTTTTCTTCTTGTCTATATCTCTTCGTTATTTCTTTTGATAATGTTTAAATACCGAACTGTTCCTGTTTACCATTCTGTTTTTCGAGTAAAGCTTAATTTAATTACAAATTAAAGGTTTTTACTTGTATTCCCCAGGTGGATCAATCGCAGCCTGTATAATTCAGTAATAAGTTTTAAATCTCATGAAAAGTACCAGTTCCTTCAAGGTTACAGGCAATCTAACGAGCGTCAACTAGCACGAGAAGTGTTTCTAAAACTTCCAACACTTTATCCATATTTGTAGAATTACTGGCAAAAGCATCTATACTTATTCTGGACTTTTGAGATGGGTACTCATAAGAGGATTATATCTAAGACTTCCTACAACTTAATCATAAGTAGTATGCAGAAAAAAACTAATTGGTCTACGAATTTTTGCATTTAACTGCATGGATTGCCATTTTGCTGCTTATTATTCAATTCTTGTGTTCGTTTCTTTTAAACAATTAAAATGAAGCTGAATCATAAACTCTCCAGTGTTAATCAAATTCACTTTCCAAAAGATTACTTGTTATATTTATTTAAGTTAATTTTCTTTAAATAACTTTGTGTAATAGGCTGAGTAAATCAGTCAGTCTTCGAAATTCTTCTAAATACAATCAACTAACAGTATAAACTCTCTTGATTATTTATCATATCTATGAACTTATTCGTCAGTACTTAATAGCCTATGAATATGAGCTAAAATTTACATTCTAATTGTTGAAAAATTTGACGTCTGAAGCTATATAACTGTAATCTCTACTTACATTATGACGACAGATTGGCTTTTAGACCTCTTATTACTGAACTTTCGTTAATAAAATTAACGATTGAGTTAATTTGAGAGAATAACGCATTACTGGTACTGTGACCAAAGCATCAAACCTAATTTTCTTGCACAAGCAAGCGGAAAGTTAACTTGCAACCTACAGTGAAATTTGTATGACAAGAATTCACGCTTTCTGTAATCATACGCATAGTACTAATACTTGTGTGACTCATTTATTGGAAGTATCACCATAGAATTTTGTTTCAGCAACTTTCGAAATTTGTTAAATAGCATGATATTAATTAATCCATCTACTCTAGAAGATCTTTCATAACAGTATGATGTGGACCTCGATATTGGTCTTCAGAAATGTTGTATTCGAAGATTAAATTATGTGTAACTTCCGAGAATTATTTATAGACTGTTATTATGTGTATATATTCTTATTGTATAACTGTTAAGTGGCTAGATTATATATTTATATTTCTTATCATAAGCTTTCAATTGATCTATTGGCTATTATTATAAGATTTACAATTCTTAATGTACCAGTTACAGTCTCTCACACTCAACTACTTTTGGCTTGATCTTGTGTAATCATTTTTTTTAATTTTATGGTGTGATGTCGTCTGGTTCGGTTGTATATAAACTACATATGTCTGAAGTATATTATTCATATGGTCAAGGCTGAGATTATGTTCTGTACTCAAAGGACAGGGAAAGGCGAGAAGGACCAATATAGATTCAGAGTTGACAACAGGTTGCTAGTGCTGTTTTGACGTGACACAAGAACAAGGTTATGTAGTTCGATATTCGGATTGACAATTTTTTCGAGTGATAATTAACGGAGAAAGTTAGAGCATAAAACATTATTTAAAGGAATTACTCGTGGAAGGTATCTTCAGTGTTGAATTTAGATTTGACAATGACATACGGACAAACTGATATAGTCTCTATGGGTTTACCACTCGACTCTTTTCTAGCCATTTACTTCAAACATGCATCTCCCTATTGAGTCGGCTTTCCGAGAACTGCAACGGAGCCTCCAGAGGCCTTGAAGGAGCCGAAGAGTCATAACTAATCAGAGCATGATGGAGCTCTCTAGAATATCAACGTGACCTGATACTATTGGTCAGTAGCATAATATGTCTTTTAGCGGATTGCCCAAAATATGATGTTGATTTAACAAATGTTAACATCTATAAATACACGTTTTTCTGTAAAAAGTGAACGTTTGGAGTAAAGTGCTTTTCGCCTTTTCTCTCGAGTCCAGGTCGCTGCGTAGGAACCGAATAAAGCCTTCAAATTACCAAGACTTATCAGTGGCGACGGGAGAACTACAATGAATATTTCTTTGGAGCAACTAGAAGCCTATATGGAGCGTCAAGAGAAGAGATTTGAACAGTACCAAATCAGAATCATTGTAGCGTTGATGCAGAAATTGTGCCTGTCCCTCCTTATTCCTCCTTGTCTCTTTTTTTTCTCTTCCCGAATTTATTTCTTCGTATTATACTCTTTAAATAACATCTCCAAACACTAATTTTCCTGATTACTGCTTATACTCTTATTACATCTACCACTACGGGATTTGAATCGACCACTGCATCTGTGTGCTAATGTGGTGTGGCAACTCGAACTGATTTGCGTACGTACGAAATTTTACGTTGTTACTGACTGATTGACTGCCTGTCCCAGCAAAACCCTGCTTTTGGTGAACCACAATTATCTCATACTGGTTCAGACATTAATGCCATTCATAAATTTAATTTTGACGGTGCAGCATGTGTAACTTTTGATTCTTGGTTTGAGAAATATGAAGATTTGTTCTATGTTGATCTCTGCAGAGTTGATGACGCCTCAAAAGTCAAAATACTTCTAAGAAAACTTGGGACGATGGAACATGAACGCTACAGTAACTTCATTCTCCCGAAGAGCCCACGAGACTTTAGTTTTGATGAAACAGTTAAAACCCTGTCTCAAATCTTTGGAGAACAGTCATCTCTATTTAATATCCGTTACCAATGCTTGAAGATAACGAAAGAACCAGATGACTGGGTGAAACATGCAGGAATTGTGAACCGAGAGTGTGAGAGGTCCAAGTTGTCTTCCATGATTGAGGACCAGTTTAAATCCCTAGTATTTGTCTGTAGCCTGCGTTCACCCGAAAATGCTGACATCCGAACAATAATCCTAAGCAAGCTTGAACAATGCCCCGATATGATGCTGCGTGAAGTAACTACCGAAGGATTAGTGAACTTGAAGCATGATACCTCTATGGTAGAGAACGGTACCCATTTCCCTTACATTAATGCAGTCCAGAGAAAGGTCTCGCAAGGTTCCAGCACGCATAATTATCGTAATGATAGCGACAAACCATCATGTCCATGCTGGTCATTTGGAGGTTGGCACTATAAGAGCTACCCGTGTAAAGAACATTGTTGCAGTAATTGTCATCAGAAGGGCTATATAGAAACCAGCTGCAGAAAAAGAAAGCATAAACGGTATTCTGCAAAACCCTGCTTCAAGAAATACAAGTTTGGCGCATTAACAAAAGAGTATTGGTATCACATAATCACGCACGGAATCGCCGCCAAAGAAGATACGTAATCTTTGGTATTAATAAACACCGTACTCACTTTCAGCTTGTTACAGCTTCTGATATTACCCTAATCAGCCTAGACACTTGGAGGAACATTGGGAGACCCATAGTTCTCCCAACAACACAACTAACACACAATGCAAGCAACGCTTCAGGGATATCGTTCACTGTTGGAGGTTGCGAGCACTTGAAGGTCAAACTGCCGCAAGATGATTGGTGCGTCACATCAACAATTCGCGAAAATTTTCCGAAGCGGTCAAATCAAGACATTTTTAGATTTGAATTGAGTTCAGCCACACCATGTCTGATAACGTCCATTCTTCAAGTAACGATGCCATCGTGATGATTCATGATATAGGATGAATCTTCAATGATATTATGTTATCTCGAAGATTTACAAGTTGGGATAATTTGGAGACCTGTTTGAAAGAAGTACATAAGGTAATATGACTTCTGTGGTTAATAATTATTTTTTAGTATACGCATACTAATTATGTTATGTCAGTATGCAAAAAGAACAGTGATGACCCAACTTCAAAGCACTTTTTCGTGAGATATGTCTGTATATATGGACGTAAACACAGTTCGTCAGAGTCAGATGCTTGCGTTCAGGATGTAGACGATGATAGTAATCATCATTCTCCTGAAGAATGTACAACTTCTAACTCGCCAACACAACCTAGACAAAGGAGACGACGTCGGTCATCTACGTATGCCTTGTTTCAAATGAATTTATCCTTCAGGTCGAAATATTGTCATTGTCAATCTGGATTTTGGGTCCGGGCAGTAAATAGTGAGCTGAAAGTCACCTCTGTTAAAACAGTGCACAACCATCCTTGCACAAAAGGATATATTTCTGTCGATCCATCGAGACGACAGTTGACGTCAAATGAACGCTTATATATAAGAACGTTTCTACTGAGTAATACACCAACTCGTAGCTTACGGCATATGGTTTCTTGGAAGTTCCATAAACAGCTTACCAAGGACGATATCGCCAAAATACGTTCACAGTTACACCCAGGTTGTTGAACTCACATTGTAATTAATTGAGTTTAGACACTAAAAATATCAATGGCATCTTACAGCGTGTTCAAGCGAACACTGAAGTAAAAGTATTCAATGAAAATGGGAACATATCTATGACTTGTTTCAGCCGCAGGGATCAAATAGCGTTCCCGGAGGTAATATGTATTGATTCGACTTATCAGACCAACGAAGTTGGGTAAGTAACGATTAGTAATAAATTTATCTTAAAGTTTTCCACTGTTCCAGCTAGTAGTGATTGGTAGTCTTGGGCAAGGGCACACTGTTATGTATGCTCTCTGCAGTCAAGAACGATGCGAAGATGTCGAAAAACTATTGGGATGTGCGGTACTTGTGATACACACACTTTCGTTATGGATTCAGCAGCGACTGAAATTTCATCAGTGCAGTCTACGTACAGTCATTCTAACATAAGACTTTGTTCACTTCATGTCTTAAGAACATTTTTCAGGAAGTTATGTGTTAGCTGTACAAATTATTTTCTGTAGTTCCGAAATCCTGATGAACGCAAATGCTTGGAACAGCTTGTGAAGACTAGACGGTCTGATATGTGAGCTTCCCTTTTCATAACGCATTATATTCAGATTTGCTCGGAAGTATGAACATCTAAGGACGCATGTTTACCAGGAACTAGTATAAAAACAGAAACCAGTATTCAATTACAGATCGAAAGTGCATTTATCACACCCTTTCTTTGGATAGTCAATCACGCTTATTTCCTTTATCTCTTGCGTTGCTTAGTAAAGTCTGGGTCGCAACAACCGCGCGCTATTTAAAAAGGACAGTGGTATTTCTCGTTGCTGAGTAAATTTCATTGTTTTGATCGTTTATTACGTATCAAGACTACTGTTTTCACTTTAAGTGAATTCATTTCAGTCAAAGTATTCGACTAGAGTACAGCTTTTACCGTTCTCTTAATTAGTTTTGTCACTGGTACTCTTGAGTACCTCATTTTCAATTGTATCTGTAAGTACTTTTGGTACTAACAATCTACAGTTCTTCACTTTTTGGTCATTGATTACTTTTTTGTTTCTGAGTATAATCGCATCTCGTTCCTTTTTGAAAAGGACTCCTTTTAAATGACCGGACAGTGTAAAAAAAGCAGTTGCCAACGTCCGGGTTGTCGTTATCCCGTTGAAAGCGGCATGCAGTGCGACGAATGCAGAAGCTGGTACCACGAAGTTTGCACGAACTTAACGCCTGCGGCTTTCAAACGGTTCAGTAAGAAGGGTTGCGTATGGCTTTGTCAACAGTGCTGTTCGGATGCAAACAGCCTGTTAACCGAGTCCATCTCACTGGTCGATGCTGCAAAGAAGTGTTTTAGCAAGCGTAGTCGGAACACGTCAAACAGCACTCGCTCTGTCGACACACAAATCGACATGAAGCAAACTAAGGTTAGTCCGATAGTAGATGACTCACTCCGGTCAAGGAAGGAGAAGCAGTCTCCAAAGAGGCCTGCCTTAAACAAAAGCTCAAGGAAAGTAAGTTCTTCTGTTCCCCGTCTCCCAGATGGGATCCCACAGGAAACGCCTAGAAGCCGCAATCGCAATGCCCCATCGGTTTCAAGCGGTAAACATAACCTGACCTCTCAGGTCGTCGACAACCCTCCAGAATCCAACACTAGGTTTGACGCAACTGTTGTTGCTTCTCCCAGCGCCGTTGACGAGTGGGTACAGGTTGTAAAGAAGAAAAAATGTAGCTATATAAAAGGTAATCCCACCCCCGCGAAAGTAGTCGTAAAATCGAAAGCTGATCATAGCGACAGATCAGCTATTTTTCATAGAATCAAGGAGAGCGAGAGCTCTGAACCTAAAGCTCGTTTTGAGCATGACATTGTGCTGATTAAGCAGCTGCTTAATCAACTCATGCCTCAAAATATCACCGGGGTCACCTTGCTAAAGGTGTACAGACTAGGGGCTCTAGCGGACTTGAAACCAAATCATTCCAGACTGCTTAAAGTAGTATTCAACTCTTCGAACGAACGTGACCTAATTTTACAGAATGGACACAAATTAAAGGGTTCAGGAGT